GGGGCACAGTTTAGGAGATGCAAGCCTGCCAGCGAGTTCACAATGTTCAGGGACTGTACGTTCACTTACTTCTGGCTTCCTCTTGACTTTAGGTGGAACTGCAAAAAACAAAAAAAGAAGAAAAGACAGCATGGTAAAAATTGCCGTTCTCAGTATTGCCTCATAACAGGTTAACAAAAGGAAACACACAGGATATACCTTTGGGAGGGGATGTTTTGCATTTCTGTGGTACCGGGCATCGAGGTGGAGGTTGTGGAGCCGAGATGGTTTGTTGGGCTGCATATGGAACTTCATATATGACCTCTGCCCTGGGAAGTGGCTGTGGTTTGACCTCTGAGCTCAGACAGCGAGCCAATTCCAGGATGATGGGAAGGCAGAGTAATGCACAAGCACAGATCAAAACCCTGTGCAGGAGTTTCCTTGGAGAGGGACCTGTGACGAGAGCTATATGATGAGGAGGATACATGACAAGCAGTAAGACCTGCTGGCCAAAATGCAGATGCACTGTGATGCACTTCATTATATGTCATTCTCTGTACCTGCGGTAATGTTCACGTGCGTGCGATGTCCATTTTCATTTATACCTATATCCCAAACAACCATGCATCCATAGGAACCTTCATCCGACTGGTTGACACTCTGGATGTTTAAGAATAGCTTTGTCTGACTGGCTGAAATTGTCTTGTTGGTCAAATGGTGTCTCTCGCTTTCCTTCACAGGCTTCCTAACATCATATGTTGAATTTTCCCACATCCAGGCACCGGTCCAGTTGTTTCCACAGTGCTGAACTACACAGGACAATGACAAGATGCCCCCTTCTGGCACATAATACATCTCGCGTTTTGCCAAAATACTAAGCTGGCATTCTTCAGCACAGAGACCTAAAAGAAGGAATTTAGATTTAAGTCACTGTAGCGGAACATGAATGTGTAGCCAAGGAAACTCGTGCAGTTTGGTGCTCCTTTGTCCCAATCTGGTTAGATTATAACCACTAAAACACATTAATAATCAGCGAACATAAACACACACGCACATGTTTTTGTTTAACTTGGTACATCTGCTAATTTCCATATGCAGTGAAACACACGTCATTCAGAATAAAATACGCATATGGCGGCCACATTTAAAAGGCACGGAGCTTAACAAACGTTTCAAAGAACTAGACGCACGCAGTGCGCTTTGGCATGACTGTGATTACCACAGCTTTTAAGGCAAACACATGGCAAATGGCATCTTATTATAAAATACTGAAGATGGAGAGTTCACACGAGTGAACAACCCCCCCCGCCCAAAAAAAAAAAAAAAAAATCTTAAGGCAAGAAGAGAGACTTTCTTTTATGTAATGAGAACTTTGGTCAGAGTTTCAAAAGGAGATCACTTACCAGTATGGAAGACATAGACGAAGCTGATGACACCGAGGAGATAGGTATACATGTCTGACTGTAAAGATGTGTTTAACGGTGTTTTTGTCTGCCGTTCATCACTTCCCCTAAGAGAGTTTGTGCTTACATTTTACGGCTGATTCTTAAATGCTGCCACACTTTCTGGAAATCAGAGTGGGCTCACTTTCTTTTACTCAGTAATTATGTTGTATTTCCTTTCTCCTGCTGTTGTTCCAATCCGGTCAGAGATGAAGGAAGTGAACACTTACCCACACATGCAGGCACAAGCACACACACGCAAAACTGAAATACGGGAAGCAGTGATCTCATGAACAGGAATATAAAATTTCCTGCAGGAAAGGGGCTGGCTTCAAAGAACTATAACATGAAGAGACAAAAGAGAACAGAAACCAGCAAATCCTTCTCCTTCTCATTTCTGTGCAGGTCTTGATTAACATTTTAGTCCAGAGACCTTGATTAAGGCATAGATGGCTGATTATGTGGTTATTTGGAGTTTACAGATCTCTGACAGCTGAAGCTGAATAGCTCACTAGCTCGGTGGTTTTCAAACTTTGGCATCTCCCACTTCAGAAGCCAAACAAGCACTACTCCTACTAGAAATAAATAATTAAAAAAGAAAACATTGAATATTTTACAGAATTAACGGTTTTGGTAGCGTATAATTGATGTATATGATAGAAAGGGGTTAATAGTGTAAGACAAGCTTGCAGAAATAACTTTTCCACAAATACACTATATTCTGTCACGGGTGGGCTTCACAGGTGGCACCAAATATTAGGAACGACCCACTTGCATTGGCTGCATAGTTTACCGCTGTTACTATGGCGAAAGTGCTTGTGTTCTCTTTATTTCAGAAAATAGCCTGGGGAAAGTTTTTTACGATTACGTTTCTGTTGTACTATTAACGCGCAGGTAGGGATTTTCCACTCGGAGTACAACTGCAAGCCCATTCTCAGCGTACAACAAATCTTCAAAGTAAACGCTTTGGTTACCTTTGAAGGGAATATACTCGCATGTAAGCGATTAAAGCACATACAGTCCCCATTTCCTGCTAAGTCCTATGTGACGCTTGTGTCGCTAAAAAAGTGCTGCACGTGATCTTATTTTGAAAACCGGACGTTTCGTATGCGGTAAATCTTTCAGTTTTAACTTTTGGGAGCGCTTGTTTATCTTCCACAGTGCTGTGCAGGAAATACAGAGGAAGTGAGAAGGATGCTTCCTTTTGGAAAGAAACTAAAAAAAAAAAAAAAACTACAGACGCCAGTAGTGAGTGTTATTACTTTAGTTTAATTTTGCCTGCATTTACAACTGAGGTTATTATTCATGCGATTTAGCTGAGAAACCCACAGAGGCTGAAAATGGTGGCTAAAGTTGAGTATATCTAATGTTGTCCCTTTCTCTGTAACATGATTTGCATACATGGGCAAAAAGTGAACACTGAACAATTACTCCTTTGTAAGCTACTAGCAGGAAATGTTGACTAATTAGGAAAACAGTGTAAAAATATTTGTTTTATTTCCTTAGTTTGTTACAGATAACAGCTTTTTATTTTTAAGCTAAATTTTGAGTAGAACTACACCAAACTAAGTTAGATTTTATATTCTTGAATAAATAAAGAGTAAAATGCGTGCAGTAGAGATGTAAATGTGAGCAGGGAAAGGGACTGTGCCCTTATAAAGTATGTGAATCGTCTTCATGAGCTAATGTTGTCTGCAGTTTTCAAACCCCGCCCAGCCGCCACGTCAAAGACTTAGCCAGGAGCCCATAAACGAGCGCACCCCGTGGTCACACTGACAGACTGTCGGTGAGATAAACAAAGAGCCGGCGACTTTCCTGGACAACAGTTGACGCTCCTCAAGCTTCTCGGCAACATGGAAACTGGTAGGTTAAATGTCACTGTGTCCCCTCTCAGTGTTTGTGGCTGCCTGGATGAGTGGAGCTTGCATTTGGTTGCAGGAGAATGACAGCTGACCGAGCTAACCCGTTAGCATTCACTGCGTTAGCATGCCAGCCTGCTAGCACGACTTTATGCCGTCCATCCTTCTGTGAGCTAGGTTGACAGTTCACCCCCCGACGGGTTATGGGGTTGTCAGCACGGTGCCAACATCACAATCTTAAATACATTAATCTTGCTCCTCTGCTCAGGCGTCAGGAACTCTTTCCAGGAACGGGATTTATTAGCCAGAGAGTAGCTAGCTCGTCTTGGAAATGCCACAGCGACTCTTTAAAGTCGTGGCCATTCATGGAAGTGAGAGTTCTGTTTGGGGAACCCTGCTTTTTACCAGAAAAGAGAATAGTTTCATTTATTTTTCAGTAGATCTCAATAACCACCCCAATCAGCCGAGGAATACTCCCTACTTTGTTTTACAACTCTTTTTATGCTTCTGGGCAAAGGTTGACTTTTGAACTTGAACCTAACTGGCTAACACAGACCGTGTTAGCCAGCTGCCCTGATTTATACAGCAACATTTAACAATAAAAAATACGTTGAAATTAAACAAATTAAAAACATTAAGAATTTCAATATTGTCTTTTTTTTATTATTGTGAAGCTGACAGCAACAATGACCACCTCCTAAGCCTGTTTCCTTTTTTTTTAAAGTCTGTATTCCAGCTCTATGGAGCAGTGATAATAAAGTGCTTGGCTAATGTAAAGCCAGCTGTAAGAGCACTGGTGTGTAAATTTGCAAGTCACCCTGGCTGCCTGTGCTTGGCCCCTTTCCATAGAAAGCCACCCTGATCTCTGTCCTCACCATTCATGCACTCAGTTGTTGGCTAAAAGCCTGGCCAACTAACTTTGTTTGGGCTGAGTCTTTCCCGTTTCTTCACACACACGTGCACACACTCCTATCAGATATCTATTTAAATAAGATGCTGGCTTTTACTATTACATGCTGACCCTTTGACACATGTCCTCCTCATCTATCCATACTGATCAGTGTCGTAACTTTTAGCTGTTGTGGCTTAAGGAAAACCGTGTTGCACTGACACATGACTGAGGCCGCACTCCCAGAATACTCTTTGCCTTAGGCTGGCTTCTACATTTTTTTTCTCCCATTTTTCTTTTTTTTGATAACGCAGCAGCTAATGAGATTTGACACTGTCCTAATCTGCGATGGTCAGTGCATTTGAGCTTTGTGTTGATGGAAAATAACAGAATGCAGCTGAGCAAGAGATTTGAACTCGAGGCAGCATGCATGACTAGGCAATGTCCCTCTCAATGTTTAATTGCTCTATGCTGTTATTTGACAGAATAAAAAAACCACACACACACACTAGTGCCAGTTTGACTCTGTGTGTGTGCACGCACACCCCTTCTTACCCACATCCAGTGGGACTGGACAGGCTTTCCAGTGCGTTCCTCTCACAGATGGAGCCAGATGAGTGATCCCAGCAGCCAGCTCTGACCAGCCCTCAGCTCCCTGGGGCAACTTGTAGTAGTGCTACTACAAAGCTTTCTTCATTTTAGTCCTCTTTTGCTGGTACTGCCTCTCCATGTACCCAGAATATTCTTTATTCTTTATCAGAGGGCTAATCTTAATCGTATAGGGTACCTTTTATAGATTTCAATGTAACCTCTGTGTGGACTGTGGAAAAAAGAAGTGAAGCACCAGGCGGTTATGTTCAATAAAGCATATGGTCTTAGTTTATGACTATCGATCTGGTATTAGAGGCATCTTTCTGACATCTGAGTGCATGAGTACTCAAAAGATAGCTCTTAAGTGGGAAGTGTGCATGTTTAAACCGCACAGTTGAGTCATGGGAATTGGAACGGTAGGAAATTCCACTTTTGGATGCAGACAATCTGTCTGAATGTCTAGCCATGTTAGCTTTTCTATAATGTGCTAACTTTAGTTGTCCTCCCTCTCCATCCCTTCCTATCTTTTTCCTCTTCCCCATCACACTCCCTGTTTCCCACTTCTTGTTCCTAAAGGTTTGAGTCAAGAGAAGGTAGCCACCTTTGTTAAGCGGATGCGGTCTGAGCCGCGTTATCTGCTGGCCCAGAATGTGTCAACCTGCATCGACCCATTGGAGGTTTGTCTTCACCGGCAGACTGTACAGGATACTGTGCACATCTTCCAGCACTCTATCCCCACAGAGGGCAAGCCCATCACCAACCAGAAAAACTCAGGTAGGACATGATGTAATACATTTGCATACACATGTACTCTGCACAAGATGCATGTTTAAAGTGTTTGTATTAGCAGGGCTGAATGGCTTGGGTAAGGTGTTCCTGAAATGCCATGTTTCAGGGGGGACTGGCCATCGCCCAAAAGGATTCAGGTTTCCAGCCACGTGCCCTTCACAGTGCCAGGTCGATGCCAAAAGTGATTTTTGAAATTAGGGTTGTTCAGAAATCAGTTTTGATTTATATCATTAAGGAACTCATTAGCCTGGAAAGCTTTAGAGTGTTTGCTGGAGAACCCCGTCCTCATAGCAAAAAATGGCGGGAGTTATGAGGTGCTAACTACGGCACCCCTGTGCCACCCATGTGCCATTTATCCAAAACTAGTCAATGATCAGCCAGGGGCCGCCTGATGCTTTATGCTCTTCTTTATGTGTCGGGGTGCCACTTATTGTCTGTTTCATTTAGAAATCATTCCCATTTTTAGTTTTCATTGTCATCTTTGAATCCGCCGCCAGTCATAGATGCTCAAAATGTTTACACCTTGTTTGATTGTGATAAATAAACTTCTATGTGCAAAATATTTAGCAGTAACTTAAAACAGTTTGTTTTATGTGTTTATTTTTAATATCAAGAACGACGTGGATAATTTCTACATTTGCATTTGGGTGTATTATTCTGTACCTGTCAGTCAACCCAAACAGCTGCTTAATAGGGCTGGGCCATATTATACCGTTCACGGTAATACCGGTATAATGTTAGGCAACGATAGGAAAATGAAATATCGCGATAGAATGGGAGTAAAACGCGCATGCGCAGTGCCTTTGTTTTCATACGCACATGGCCGATTGTTGAGTGAAACAGATGAACCAGAATTGGTTTGTAAAAATGGTGCAACTTCAGTGATGTGGAACTGGTTTGGTGTTTGTCCGTCAGATACACGACAAAGCACATTTTTTTGCAGAACATGCAAGCGGCCGTCGTTATTGTCGTATTTGTCGGACTAAGATGCTCTTAAATCTGGGAGTAATCTGGGTCCTAAACTCCGTATGCTTCAGGTCAAACGAACACTGCAGCATCACTGAGAGTTAAAAACTGTCTAAATTCTTTCATCTTTAATAAAACGATCAGCATTGCTGCTTTACCAGGTGTAACTATGAAGTTTAACTTCCAGGCATCCATGAAAACAAAATGTATTACATTTAACGGAGTTAGAAGTTAGCAGGAAGCTAGCGGAAGTTAGCTCGCTAGTTTCGCTAGTTACCTAAGCATGATATAGCAT